AAAAAATAATAATAAAACAACCAAGTTAATGATAAATCCAGCAGTTGTTAGTACCAACCAACAGTTAATTTCAAATAAAGGCATTATAAGAAATAAAATAACGAACACAACAGAAAAATGTAAAAAAACAAAAGACAATGTAAGTTCAAATGTATGATTAAGGGTTATAAAGTGGCTAGACTTGAGTTTGTGTTACCAGCAACCCCAGCTGAGAGTTTATAATAATGCAACAAAACATATATATCCGAGGGACAAGAGCAACGAGAATGACATTGAAAGAAGCCATAAAGCAAAGTCTTAGTGAGGGGAGTAAAAATACAGGTACTAAGGCACATTCACAAAGCAAGCATAGTGTTAATAAGGAATTGAATCAACAGCTTTTAACATCAGGCTAGGTATTCTAATAACATTGAGATGACATTTGGTGTTCTATAAGGTATACAAGAAACCAACATCAGCTCCTGCACAGCACATAGAGACATGGCTTGACAAATGCTGGTTCAACATGTGTGGGGTCACCAATGGTCTATCAGACTGTAATATGAATGATTATGGTTGTTCATGTGTTGTAAATATGTTCATCAAGTAAAAGATCCCAAATATATGTATGTATGTTCCTTAATGTCAAATTTGTTTCAGGATTTAAAGCCACATATATTGAAAAGTTACACAGTTACACTTTCATCAGCAAAAACATCAACACAGCATTAACTACATGCTCAATAGTACACAAAAACTTTTATTTTAGTTGTTACTGAGTGAACAATCAAAGCAAAAAAAATTACATTGAAGCAAAATATCTTACCTTCTGGTACAGTCCAAAACAAAACTTTAACTGGATGCTTATTCTTCTTCCAGTACACAGCACTTCTTATGTTGCTGGTAAGTTTTCTATAGTGATACTATTCCGGAAGTATTTAGAATGCAAATAAACCCACACAGATACTTAAAAGCTTTCAATATTTTCAGTTTGGAAAACTAAAATTAATGGATTTAATTTTCATTTATGTATCCTTGTGATACTTGACACTAGATAGCCGGAATTTTTACCAACAGGGAATGTTTAAGATGCAGAAAACAGAAAGGAGGGAAGGGAAAAGAAGCTAATACATACATATAGAATACTATACCAGGGCACAAAACAAAAAGCAAACACTTTCATTGTAGATATTACTGTAAATCCATAGAGTTTAGGCTTACTTTCCTTGCTCTTTCCGCAACCACCACAGACCAAAATGACAATACCAGAGTTTTCTTGCCTCCAAGCTTCAAGCAACACACCGCACCAATATAAAGAACAGCCATTATCAAGCAAGGGCAGCACACAGTAAGCTTAGGTATAAAGAAAAAAATTCAACAAATTGAAAAAAAAAGTAAAACTTAAATTGCAACTGAAGCATATAAAAATGGTTTCATAAAACAAGTTAGAGATAACTAAAATAGTTAGATTTAAAAAAGGAAGATGGGGTGTTTTCTACGCACAGACAAATGGAGGGAAAAAAAAACACTACACACTCTCAAGCATTAATGCTACTAAATCCTATTCATTTAAATTACTCACCATTATTTTGACCAGTATCAGATGCTGAAACACTGTTGTCAGGGGTGATGCTCATCTCCATTACTGGACCCAAGAAGAGATCAGTGTTACTGTCAGCTAGGTCCTCAGCTGCATCCGACAAAATAGCAGAGGTGTCTCCATCTGTATCTTCATCATGGTCCATAGGTTCTAATTTTGGTACTCTTTCAGGAGAAAGAGCTGTTTCAAGCACAGCTTCAACTGAAATTGGGGCACCTCTTGCACTACCTCTGCTACCAGTGCGTTTCTTGGTCCTGTATAGTGGTGAAGGTATACTTGTTGAGGGGCGTTCCAACTAAGACCGCGCACCCGGGAATTTCAAAAATTCGGATTTTTGTCGAAAAAAAATATTTTTTGACTTTTGTTCTAACAACCTTAAAAAGCTTTGTCCCGGGGCTGTGGGTCGAAAACTCTGGATTTGGCAGAGGTTTGAAGAGCTGCATTTGGACAACTTTGGGACTTTTGCCTAAAATTGGTTTTTCCTTCACAAAAACCGTAATTTTGATCCGATTACAGTTTGCGTGACACAGATTTCAAGGTAAGTAAGAGACCTACAAGATGGTTTTTCGCGGAGGCCGATAGGACGTTTTGTTCAGAAGCAATCGGGCCTCAAAGTCAATTTTTTGATAGAAAAGCAGCCAAAATGGACTTTTTCGATAACGGCCGCAGTTTTTGTCTGAATTCAATTTACTCAACGCCGAATGGAAGATCTCGACAAGACCTATCACACAAAAAATCGAAAGATTTTTAGGACAAACAGCTCGTAAGATATTGCAATTCTAAAAAAATCGTGAGTAAAATTTAGCCGTTTTGGTTATTTTCGATGGTGGCCGTAATTTTCATAGGAATTTACTTTTCTATACACAGAAATGTAGAGGAAAGATAGATCTATCTGGAGACCTCAGAACGGGGTTGATCGGTCAATCCGTTTAGGAGATATCGCACTGCAAAGTCGATATACCGTCAAAATATGAAATTTGCTGATTTTGGGTCGATCCAGATCGATCAAGACCAGGTCTCGATAAGAGGCGAGGGATTCTCACATGAACTCGTGCATGGGGGTTTTC